TTGTTAGCCGACACTGGGCAGCTGGTTCATAATTGAATGGAGTTGTTTAAATATTTGTTTAACAACAAGTAAAAGCTTGAGTGGTCTGTTCTCTCATTGGGGGTGTGTTTGTGGGCTTACAGACACACATCCCCAATAAAAGAATAGACCGTTCCAAGCTTTTACTTGTTGTTAAACAAATGTTTTAACAAACTCTATTCAATTTTGTTAAATGTTAAGGAAGTTTACCCTACCTACCTAGTAGTAGTTTTAACTTTTCCATAGCGGAGTTTCTATATACTACTAAATGAAATGAGAATAGAAACAGAATAAAACACGTTTCGTTAAAATTGGGGCACGGGTTACCGAGTTAGCGCCGTTTTTCGGGTTATTTTTATGAACATATCTAGCATGAGTAATTTTACATCACAATACCGTTCGCGCTCTTTACGAAACTTCTTCGTTCAAATCTATTTCCCTGTCAATGTTTCCATCTTCATTAAAAAAAACAATATCTTGAATAATTTCTCAATAATGTGTTTTGTTCTGGTAGGTAATTTGAAGAAAAATAAAGTGTTACTGTTTCTTATTTGTAGAAGGTTTAAGAGGAAAGACTACAACATAATAAAGTAATTAATCAAAATACCTGAAAACCTCTGACTTCACTTTTTGAAAAATGAAATGGTCTTTCCTTTTACTCCCGATCAACAATCAAATATCTTTTCTTGAATTATGAATAACACGAATGGATTGAAATATTTAATTAAATTATCTCAAAATAAACCTTCATTTCGGTGCAATATTGAAATTAGCTTGAATTTTTCATAACCTCTGAATAGTGGGTGACCCAACGGGTCACGGGTAGTCTAGTATTTATCTATAACCTACCTAATGCTATGATAATTAAGTTTATTATTATTTCTGAAATTTGCTGAATTTAATATTATATTAAACTTTAGCATTAAAAAAATATCATCTTAATGCACACTTAGAAATGTTAATCATTAACTTCATATTAGTTTACCTAAGAAACTACAAGAAAATAGATTTAAGATTGTACAGAATAAGCTAATTCAATGTTTACTTAAAGTGAGTTTTCATGTCAATTCCAAGCTTTGATATTAAAAGGATAGAAATGTACTGTTTGTATAGACCTTTAAATCTTTAAGATAATACAATCAGATATGCATGTATGAAAAATCTATAGGTTTCCAGAAACTGAAAGGAAATATTACTTGGGTTTGAAGCATTACTGATATGAGTTATAAAAAAAAGTAAATATAACTTTTTGTTATGTGTTTTTTATAACGTTTTGTACCATATTGATTTTTTCGGAAAACCCAGAATTTTCATCAAATAAATTGTGTATACTATTTTTCTTCCTAGAATAACATCCCACGTCAGAAAATGACGATGAACTAATATTTTAAACATTCAAACTGGGACCTGACATTTCACGATTTTGGAAAACTTACAAGTAACATCAAGATTACATACATCCTCTAAGACACTTAAAAGTAAAATCAAGAGTTCATACATTCTCTACGACACTTACAAATAACGTCAAGATTCCATACATCTTCTAAGGCACTTACAAATAATGTCAATATTTCATACATCCTTTAAGGCACTTACAAGTAACATCAAGATTTCATACATCCTCTAAGGCACTTACAAGTAACATCAAGATTTCATACATCCTCTAAGGCACTTACAAGTAACATAAAGATTTCATACACCCTCTAAGGCACTTACAAGTAACATCAAGATTTCATACATCCTCTAAGGCACTTACAAATAACGTCAAGATTCCTCACATCCTTTAGGGCATTTACAAGTAATATCAAGATTTTATACATCCTCTAAGGCACTTATAAATAACATCAAGATTCCATACATCTTCTAAGGCTCTTAAAAATAACGTCAATATTTCATACATCCTCTACGACACTTAAAAATAACGTCAAAATTCCATACATCCTTTAAGGCACTTACAAATAACATAAAGATTTCATACATCCTCTGAGGCACTTACAAGTAACATCAAGATTCCATACATCCTCTAAGGTACTATTTATGACATCAGGATTATCTGCCCGACACGTCAACATTTTTCCGTGGTCATCAATTTCTGGTTTAAAAGACAGCTTGCTGATAGTAACATTTTCGGATGTTGTTACTGCTGACGCTGAAAACATTTTTTTCCCGTCTTTCCACCATGTCATTCTAGCAGGAGGTCTTGAACCTCTGGATTGGCATTCCAAATCAACCCTACGACCTGCCGACAAGGGTCTTCGTCGCGTTGTGATACATACGTGCAAAGGTTTCACTTCAAAAATACATAGAATATATATATATTGTCAATGCAAGATAAACAGGTTCGGCATGTTATGAAGCATACACTGTTGTTATCCAATGTGGAGTTGAAGGACGGCTTGTCATACAGCGAAAAAATCTAATACATTGTTTCAAATATCTTGTTGAGCAAATAAATCATATTTACCACGAATATATACACTGTATTTGAGATCATGAATTGATAGTTCTGTTGAAGAAACAAATACATATACTAGAGATGAAGTCCAACGAACGCTATTTGAGGTCTTTGAAGGAAGAATAAAGTATCTTCCTATTTATGAATTGGAATATTAGGTTGTAATTTTTATTTATCTTAAATTGTAAATACTTCGTTTGATTTGAAAATAATGAACAAAAACTTCGTTAATTGGGACGCAGATTTATAGAAATTTTTAGAAGTCCTGTAAAAATTTGTGGTTTTATTCTGTTGTAAGTACATTATACTTAATATCAATATTAAGCAAAATACGAATACGTAGAAAAATTAAGATATAAAAAAATTTTATATAAGGTAGTACATTACAACAATAAAAATTACGAAAACAATGAAATTATCACTAAATTATTTTGACATCATTAATATATATATTTGTTTGCCTATATTAAAATGTGAAACAACTAACGTCTTTACATTTTGTAAATAAAAACTTGATAAAACAATAAATAATTGAAAATATCGGAAAATGTTGCTTACGGTTTACATTTTGTAAATAAAAACTTGATAAAACAATAAATAATTGAAAAGATCGTAAAATGTTGCTTACGGTTTACATCTAATGTAATGGAGCTAGAAACAGGAGACGAGAAGTTTGTATTAGAAGCTTGGCAGGTTAGTGTATGCCCCAAATGATCTCTCTTTAACTCTTCAATAACAAATTCGTTTCTGGTTATTCCTAGCGGTGTGATAACATAGTCATCATCCAGCAAGGTGGAATCCTCCCACCAGCCTACAGTGGGAGGAGGATCACCTGAACAAATATTAAATGGATGTGTGATATATTTCTATCATATACTAGTTGAGAAACAAAACGATCCACAATAGTCATAGGTTTGATATCTAGTTTTTAACTAGTAAATAAATCAAGACATATATAAATTATTTCTGATCCAACTATACTAGTTGAGAAACAAAACGATCCACAATAGTCATAGGTTTGATATCTAATTTTTAACTAGTAAATAAATCAAGACATATATAAATTATTGCTGATCCAACTATACTAGTTGAGAAACAAAACGGTCCACAATAGTCATGGGTTTGATATCTAATTTTTAACTAGTAAATAAATCAAGACATATATAAATTATTTCTGATCCAACTATACTAGTTGAAACATAAAACGATCCACAATAGTTATAGGTTTGATATCTAATTTTAACTAGTAAATAAATCAAGACATATATAAATTATTTCCGATCCAGTTGTGATACATGATCAGAGGTTAATACAAAATCATAATTGAGAGATTTATTCTTCATTCAATAAATAATGTTTATGGACTTATAATGTTAGGTATTTGTTAATATTCTATAGCTCTTGATATGCCATAAGCAAAGTCAATTAAATACAACAAAAATAATTTTTCTAACCTTCTGTACGACATAAGCATATCAAATTAAATAGAAAACATATTTTTATAACTCTTGACAGAAGCGTCGCTAGCTAAGCACTGGTTCATGGGGCCCATGCGCCGATTATAGTTGACAGTGCCCCGAATGCCCAGTTGGAGTCTTGAAAAATTATAATAGAAAACCATGATCGATATTATACTGAAATGCCGAAAATTCCCGCACCTATGGACCCCGAGCTCCAAATCTTTTAAGTACTGATTGCTACTTCTGACCCTTGATACGACAAAAGTACAGCAAAGGGAACAGAAAAATAATTTTTGTAACCCTTGTTACCACATAACTCCAATGAACTAAACATAAAAATAATTTCTGTAACCCTTTTTTACCACATAAATCCAATGAATTAAACAGAAAAATATTTTTGTAACCCTTGTTACCACATAAATCCAATGAATTAAACATAAAAAATAATTTCT